CCCCTGGAAGTTTCATAGAGCGGTAGATATCTTATATAACCTAACCTAATCGGCCACCCTCTACCGACAGATGTTAGCCGATTGTAGATTAGATAGCGGTATTGCCGGAGATTATGTAAGATATATGATAACTCGACGAATTACATAAACGAGATCAGAGTATCATAAAGATGGAAGCACTAATCCCGAGAACACAAGTCGTCGTAACAAGTTTTACCTTTTGTTGAAGATCGAAACCGATGCAGCTCAACCCGAAAGCAAGAACTCGTCGAAATAAAACTAGAACAAAAAGGTGGCGATGCGCCGAAATTGTATTGAACGTGTGTGTTAAAAGTTACATACGACTCAGGTCTATTTATACCCGAGAATTACAAGATACGTCCATAACGGACACGACTACTATCTCTAACAAACTCCAAGATACCATAAGTCTTTGCGGCAAACTTTTGCCCAAGCATATCTCTAATGAAATTACATAAAACATCCTAATTAATAGATACAATTGCCTTCTCAGGACTCTATCCATGTACGGCAATCACCTTGAAGCACCTCAATTCAACCCGATATCATACATCAAGTTGCATTGTCGGAATCGGCTGCATCGGCTTACCTAGTCCGACTCAGACCCAGCCGATCCTAATCGTAGCCGATCTAGACTCCAGCCGATTCCTGCTCTGTTTCCGAACTCGATCTCCGCCTCCAACTTTGCTTCGATCTAATCTTCTTTTCCGATGCCGATGTTACCAAATTTGGTTGTTAACAGGCACATGCTGAACAGAACAATATGAGGGAGATACTTTGTCCATATACTGATTGTAAGAATGAAGTAGCCTGGAAAGATGCTTCTAAAGTGATGGAGCACTTAGTAACTCATGGATTTATGGAGAAGTAAGAAATATGGACACGTCATGGTGAAGAACAAGGGGACGGGCCTGAAAATGTAGTTCCGACAGAAGTTGAAGACATGGTGTACGACGATGGTCCTGGTGCAGACAAAATTGATCTAGAGTAAAATGTTATGTCATGCAGAACCCGAGGTGCTGATTGGGTCGACTAGAGGTTTAAATAGCTTTGAAGCTTTACAGAAGGCAGCTAAGGATGTTTTGTACAATGAGTCAAAGTGATGTGACAGTGAGTTTACAACACTACAACCAGTTCTTGAACTTATGAGGTTAAAGGCGAGACATGGATGGTCTGATAGTAGTTTCGACAGTCTGCATGAACTTCTGAAGGATATGCTTCCAAGGCCTAACTCACTACCATCCAACACGTGTCAAGCGAAGAAACTCATATGTCCCCTTTTCACTTGGTGTGGAAAAGATTCATGCGTGCGTTAATCACTACATAATGTACAGGAAAGAGTACGCTTCTTTGGAAGAATATCCAACATGCGGTACTAGCCGGTACAAATTGAATAGCAATACTGGCCTATAACCATCTGACACAACCGAGGGAACTAAGAAAAAAATCCCGCAGCTTATGATGTGGTACCTTCCTGTCAAAGACTGCATTAAACGGATATACTCAAATCCGCGAGATGCGGAACTAATGCGATGGCATCAAGAAGGGCGCAAGAAAAATGGGATGATTCGACACCCGGCAGATGCTCGTCAGTGGATAAACTTTGATGCTCAGTACAGAGAGTTTGCTAAAGATCCTCGGAATATTAGGTTTGCCCTGAGTACTGATGGAGTTAATCCTTTTGGAGACATGAGCAGCTCACATAGTACTTAGCCAGTGCTTCTCACCATGTATAATCTTCCTACCTGGCTTTGTCAAAAGCGAAAATACGTATTATGTATCCTGATACAGGGACCCCGTCAGCCTGGTATTGATATTGACGTATTTCTTGAACCATTGTTGGAAGATAGGGCTGATTTATGGAAAGAGAGGTTGAAAGTGTGGGACGAGTACTTAAGAGAATACTTCACAATGAAGGCCATCATCTTCATGACCATTAACGATTATCCAGCCATGTTTTCAGTTTCAGGGCAAATTAAAGGTAAAACAGGATGTGTGATCTTCTTGAATGGAACGTGCTATAGGTATCTCATGGTTCCAACAAGCTTGTGTACATGCGTCACCGGCGGTTCTTACGCACAAATCACAAGTAACGCAAGATGAAGGCGGAATTCGATGGCACTTAAGAGAGTGATCCTCCACCAAAACCTACATCCGAGGAAAAAGTGTGTGCAATGACAGAGAAAATTGTTTGCAAATTTGGAAAACAGACTAAGAAACCTTCAAAGGCGACAAAGCGCAAGAAACCCGACAAGTCTAAGAAACCAAAAGATAGTAAGAAGCCAACTAGTAGTAAGAAGCCAGATGATAAATTCCCTCCCCCATTCAAGAAGCATTCCATTGGACGAGACTCCTGAAGAGATAGCCGAATACAAGAAGGGCTTCCACAAGGAGAAAATTATTACTGTCGCACAGTACATTGGACGAGCCTTCTTGCACTTTCAAAATAAAAGAGTCGTCCTGGCCGCTTATAATTTTAAGTAAATTCGGTACATTTCTCTTCTACATATATGTCTTATTTTAGCCAAGACTAATTACGTTGTGGTTAATATGTAGCGATCATTACATTTGTTTAATCATCTACCGAATAAAGGAACCGTGACAGTCTTGGACCCTCTCGATTTTAGTCACCACTCATACAAAGAATTTCTAACAATCTTACAGTAATAAGTGATTATGACTCTTGCATGTATAATATGAATGCAATATAATTAAATATCCTCCTTAATGTGAAATGGTACGACATCCATACAGCGCATACAACTACTACAAGTTCAAGGGTGGAGAATAGACCCGGACAAGGGAGAAGCTGCTAGTACATAAATATTGGCCGGTAATACTCCACTCACTTAATGTATTCCAATTGTTTCACTAATTGCAAAATTTAACTATTTTCTTTTATGATATGTCGTGAAGTGTCACAAGCAACCTAGAGGCACTGTCCTCTGCGGGTATTACGTGTGCGAATTCCTTAGGGTTAATGGGAGGTACAGGGTTAACCCAGAGGATGTAAGTCTATAGACTATGGACTAGACAACTTCACATATATATGATACTAATATAATATTTTTGCATGCAGTTGCCAAGAATAGAACTTCGAACAAGCTTTGACGATACAGGCATCACAAATGTCCAGCGCGATCTCTGCCACTTCATCCACCGTGAGTGCTATCATGTGTGAGGAGACTTCTTCGACCCAGAGGGTGCCCTAGCTACAACTGACGAATTCAAGCAACTTCGGGAGTGGAGCACGGATATGCCATAATATAATTAGATTGCGTATTTGAAGTGACAATGTAAAAAAATATTGTAATATATATTTTGACAACACTTTTCACTGATGCAATATATGTAGATTTCTCAATACCAAATGCTTGTTAATTACTAATAATCTTCCTGCATCAATTTCAATTAAATAATTAAAAATTAATTTATGGGCAAATTATTATTGTATCAAATTTCAAAATTTTCTACCTACCTTCGTAAGCGGATGTTTTTATTTTGCAGCGACCGCTTCCTATTTTCGCAGGCGAACATGTCTAGCTAACGTCCGCCTGTGAAAATTATCTTCTCAGGCGGACCGCCGCCCCGTCTGGGAAGACGTGTTTTGTCCGCCAGGGAAAATGCTTTTTCTAGTAGTGTTTCCCGGCGCAGACACTGACGTTCCAAATTATAGTGACATAAAGATCGAATAATTTTGTCTGTCAGCAGAAGGTGTGCATGCAGCAGAAGATGTGTTGATACATATAGGAAGCAAACAGCCAGCCCACGCACAAGACCACGCTGAATGGTTCATTCGAGCAAGTCAAGCCATAGATCAGGATTTGCATGAATATCATATCGGTGTCCTATCTCATGACGTTCATCTTCTTCAATTCCGTAGAAATGGAAGGCTTTGGGAATTTTGGTACATTCAGCATGGAGAATTTTGCGACAGCGAGTTCAGTCTCTACTACGAATGTGAATGTGTGTCATCGTTAATGAATCCTGGCTGCTACAAGTGACCAACTACAGGTGAGTTCCACGTGGCAAGAGAGCACCGTGCCGCCAGATCGAAGAACAAGGTTGGCTCACAACAATTTGATTATCTCGCAAAACACCATTTAAGAGGTCACAATAATGCACAACTTGATGTAGTTTTGTGATGGTACACTGACTTATGACCAATCTATACGATAATGGATCCTCCACAAAAGAAAGTACATAACTATAAATATAACACACTGATTACCATATATAAAAGACCTACCTAATTACTTCCTCTGTTTCACAATGTAAGACTTTCTAGCGTTGCCCACATTCATATAGATATTAATGAATATGGGAAATGCTTGAAAGTCATACAATATGAAACAGAGGGAGTATATGTTAACTGCACCCAAGCCCATATGAATGACAAAACTAACACCGATGCAACTAACTGCATCTTATTCAGCAATCGGCCAAATAGAAGATTATGTAGTTTTACTGGTTGGATGGGCTTTATAAGGGTTTTTGGTTGGATGTAACACATATACTAGTACAATGAATATGGACAGAGAGTCTGTCCAGATTCATTGTAATAGGATGTGTTAAATCCGGGCAAAAGTCCTTATATTTTGGGACGGATGGAGTATTCATTTAACCAAGCAGTCATCTCATGTTTGAATCTATCCATTGCAGGCTGTGGCAACAACATGGAGATGACTGTTGACTTCTCACCGTTTTCATTCTTGCACATAAATTGGTAGCTTGTCATATTTGGTAGACTAACAGTCGGTATTCTACCTCCAATCCTCTTTGCCCATCCAATATCCAAAGTGTCCTGCCCAATCCATTTTATGTCACATGTTTCAAATATTCTTTGTAATTTTATGTACGGTTTCTCACGCCATAATGGCAACAAATCTACTCTCAATTGCATATTTTCTTCTATCATCATCTCATCTTTAGCCTTGCGGACAAGTTCAATTGTGTGTCCTAATGGGTTTGTGCACAAGTCATTGACTGTTGTCTGAATGACAGAGCACATAAGCCCATTGCCATAGTATCCTGATGGAAACTTCTTCCATCTCCCACGCGCATTCACATTAATCATCAAGCGTACAATATGGCAAGGCTTGTAGCCAAGTGCCACAGTACGAGACCGCCATGTAACCGCAGTTAGTAGCTCAAAGCTCGTGACTGTTTCTGTGAGATTTAATGGAACATGACGCCTTAGTGCATCCATATCTATTTGAGAGAGAATAAAGTATTCAGAAACCATGTTTTCAGTAGGCATTGTCACCATAATATCATCACAAGTGGCATTCTCTAGTTCATCAAATAATTTCTCTTGTCCTTCTTGGATGTGGGGTGGTAGACTTGTTCCAACAAAGAGCTCCCTTTTCCAAACTGGTAATATGGTTGGTTTTGCCTCACCGCGTGCTATATCAAATATAGCTTTCAAGAATTGAAATGTGCCGAAGGCATCAGCTATGCAATGACAAATGTGAGTTCCAAGGACAAATCCTCCACACTTGAGATGAGTGATCTGTCAAACAAAAACAAATGTTAATGAAAACCATGCATATAAATCAAGTTTGTGACGGTAAACAATGGATGCTGAAAGTATTTTAAGTTATAAAGGGTGCAATTCTGTTTTTGCAACAGATAGCAAATGTGTCTGTAATTAAACATGGGATCTCTCAATATATATACAAGGATCTAAACGTGGTCGTTCTCTCACCACAGACACTGGAGCATGCATGGGTAACGTCACTTCGCACTGGACAGTAGATATATTTACTTTAAAGATAAGTTTTCTGACACTTCAGCAGATACTGAGATATACATAGTATAAAAATATTTGGTTTATTTTGATGCCTCACATACCAATAGATACTAAATTTTACAATAGAAAACATTATATTTATGACAGCAGGATGGCAGAATCGACGACCTCAAAATTGGTCTATTTTTTCTAAAAAATCATTTCTATATTATAAATTACATTATTCGCACCAGTTAATTTTAAAACTTACTCTTCAATTGTTTATAATATACATTATATAAAAGAACTACGACGAAAACAATTGATTACTACTAGGAAGAAGGGATAGTAGAAATATATAAGAGAATAAATATAACCATCCCATGGAGAAAAGTGCCTAAAACCAAATAAGAAAATAGGGAAAATGCAAAGACCACCCCAAAAGTTACCATAAGTTCAAAATTCCCCCTATAAGACCATTCATTGCAGATACCCCCTCTTAATTCTCTTGGTTTCAGATTCACCCTAATTTCCGTTACTCACCCATTCTCATACCACACATGCACTCAGACAAAGGCTAGCTAATAATACAGTCGACCAGCTGGCTACAAGGTTCCTTATAACATTCCCTCAGCCTATCCATATAACAGTTAGCTCTTTACAATTAATATAGGGCCCATTTGTCTCTTTCAAAAAGTTTCTTGGTTCTTGTGTCCAAGCCGGCTATAAGGGCAGTCCCAACCCTCCACTTAGGATGGTTTCTATGGCATTAACTACATTGCTATGCAGGACTTTTAGCTTATGTGGCACTATATTAATTAAGAGAGAGAGAGTGAAGAGAGGAAGAAACTGGGTCTCATGCAAGACCCAGTTTCAACACGAGAACCTATATGCACTAGACACTATCAAGTTTTGCATTGGGAGAGAATAGTGTCTTCATAATAGATGAAGAATAAATATGATTGGTAGAGAAGAGAGATGATGTATTTATTAATGACCCACTTTAAGAAATTATGGGTTGTGAAGTGTAGTTTCTATTGTGATGTCTTATTGACATGGCACCATAGACACTGCTTATGAACATGACGGGTTGGGATTGTCCTAAGTTTACAGTCCGCTTCTTCTCTCTCCTCTTTTCTCTCCTCCACCTCAGCATTTAGCCAGTTTATAGCCTATATGAATTGTCGAAACATGATTTCGGCAATAATAAAACGGGGTAGCGCACGAGACCTAAAAGTGGATGGATGTGGAGACAAAGGATTTAGACAGGTTCAGGCCCTCTCAATGAGAGGTAATACCCTACTCCTGTTTAGGGATTTGAATCCGCCGAGTGTGTATTGATCTGACGATCAGGTTGTCTCATGCCCCCTAGAGGGCCTCCTGCCCACCTTATATAGGATGGGGGGCAGGATTACAAGATAGAAACCTTAACCAATACGGTATCGGTTTCCTAAATCTATTTTACAATATTATCGAATCAGGACTTTAGGCCGCTCCATAATATAAAAGGAAACGTAATACCCAAGTCATGATCGGTTACATATTCCATAGATATATGTTATCCCCTATTACTAGTCGGATAACCATGCCGTGTGGGTATGGGGTACCCATAATCTCCACAGTAGCCCCTGAGACCTTCACAGTCGGAAAGATAATCTTCTCTCGAACTAGATTACTCCAAAGCCGAGTGCTTCAATCATCCTCACCATGATCTCCCGAGTACTTTTACCAAATATGAAGACTGTGGAGGGCTGAAAAATAAAGTCAGGTGCATCGAATAGATGTATCTAATAGATGCACCAACTGAGTGGTTTTGATAATCGTAGTCAACCAAGTGACTTGATACCAATATATAGCATATGCGGTGTGAATCCCCGAATAATATGATCCAAGTGATATACCGACTGCTTTGTAAAATATGACGAGTGTAACCTAAAGTTGGCTACATCATTGAAAATTCACATAGCAAAATAGCTATAAAGAAGCTTGTATGTTGTGAATAAAGAAATTTCCAAAGTATTGGGCATACGCCATGCGCACACTGCTTTAACAGACGTGCTTTAGTCCCTAAAAGACACATAGTTTCACCACACCTGGAAATATATGGCATATGTGGTGTAAAATTCGAGTAAATAAACTCATAAAGGATTTACCAACCGCCTAGAAAATGACCACAATATATAATCAGCCTAAGCCATAATATTGGTCAAAAAAAATGCACACTTACGTGGCAAAAAGCAATGATATTGTATCCAATCAATTGCTTGATAAACCCAAACAGCACCTTGACTATATAAAAAAGCCAGCGGGGCAGCTATATAAAGCTTTACTGTTTGACACCTTTTAAGATGCATTGTACCAACTCCTAAAAAGTCGAGTAACTGCGGTATAAAAGGATTTTAAGGTATTGGGCACTTGATCACGCGCACTTTGGCCTAAGCGAAAAGTGCCTAAGTCCCTAAAAGAACGTGACAGGCCACACCTGAAAATATGGGCTGCAGACATATTAGGCCTAGACCAAAAAATATGCCTTCGACACCCTTTAAAGGATGACGCATGTAACATGCTCTCGAGTAATAAATCTTCCGGGTGATATAGACCAGGTGTAGCTCATATGAATAGCTTCTGATCTAAGTGATTATCCCTTATGAGATACTCCAAAATATATATAATAATTGAATCCCGACTTGCGCAAGTATTCGGTTGATAGCCCTTACGGGGAATAATAATTGGTCCAGTCTTTGAGCATAGAAAATAGACTCATGACTATGAATCCATGTGGAATGTATCCGGAACAAGTCCAAATTGGAGATATAATCCTCACGCTTGAGTTGATGAGCCCCTGAGCATATAGCTTGTCCTTCTGTCATAGTCAAAATTATCTATTGGCAATAGCTGACGCAGTCGGCATGGAGATGAAATGACCAACATGAAGACGAAATTGCTCATCAGAAGTAACGGAAGATGTCAGTGGTAGTAAAGATGCCACCAATCAAATGTAATGAAGTTGCATAACCATGGAGGCGAAGAAACCAGTCGGCAACAGTCAGGTCAGCTAGCAGTGAAGATGTAGGCGCCCAACAACAACGAAAGAACAGTCGGTGGTGACGAAAGCAAACCGACGATGAAGACGTAGACGCGCATCAACGGTGATGGCGAAATCCACCAATCATGAAGATGAAGAAAATAATCGGCGGCGACAAACGCATCCGACGGTAATGATGATTAGCGGCAACAGAGATAGCCGACTATGATGATGAAGTTTCCCATCAACGGCAGCAGAGTAGGCTATGTTGATGAGGCTTGACAAGATGTTGATGAAGATGACGATGTCGGTGATCCAGTCAATAGCGATGTAGCAGCCGATGATAACGATGAGATCCTCTATCGGCAGTTGCGTAGTAGGCCAACCGTGAAGACAAATAATTGGAGGAGAGTTGATGTTGTTGCCCAACTCGTCTAAACCGAAATATTTGAAGTTGTTGAAGTAGAATGTCTGCTCCGAAGTAAAGATGAAGATAATGACTCCTGGAGTTGACTCATTGGCTGATTAATTGATTTCTTCAGCTTGACATAAAATTTGTCAAATTTTGAGCCTTATATTTGTGTAGCCCCCGACTCTTTGGTTAGTTGGGAAACAACTGAACATAGAGTCGAGAATTATAGCTCCTTGTCGTCGAGTAGTCATTGCTTGATTGAAGATATGTGTTGAAGGTGTCCAAGTAGAAATCCTGAATATTGGAGAGTCACTTGTTGTAGTAAAATATCATGGCATTGCATGCCGAGATGTCGAGGTTCGCAAAGACGTCGTGGTTGGTGAAGTAGTAAAACTTGCGAAGTAGCAGCAATAGAGTTTGCCAGTGCCGAAGATAATAAAGATGAAGTCGTTCCACCATGATGACAAAGTTGCATCGCCGTGATGAAGTGAACACGAGTCGGCGGCAACAGAAGCAAACTGGTAGCGAAGACGCGCAGTTGTGAAGATAAAAGCACTAGTCGGCGGCGGCATAACCAGTCGGCAACGGAAGACGATGATGTCCATCAGTAGTGGTAGCTGTATAAACCAGACGTAGAGGTGAGGGCACTAGTCAGCAGTAGACGAGACGACCGGCGGTGAAGAAGATAAGGCCAATCAACACTGGCAGAATCATGCAGCCATGGAAGTGAAGAAACCAGTCGGCAGCCATGGCAAACGTAGGCAGCTTGTGTTGAAGATACTGATGCCTATTAGTAGTGACAGCGATGTAGCCAGCCGTGAAGAAGGTAGCATCAGTTGGCGTTATAACAGGCCAGCCGTGCAGGCAGTGACACCAGTCAGCGGCGGATGCGGCGGCCGGTCGGTGAAGACGTAGACGCCCAACAACGGCAGCATAATAGGCCAGCCGTGCAGGCGGAAACACCAGTCGGCGGCGGTCGAGGCGGCCGGTCGGTGAAGACGTAGACGCCCAACAACGGCGGCATAAAGGCCAGCCGTGCAGGCGGAAACACCAGTCGGCGGCGGTCGAGGCGGCCGGTCGGTGAAGACGTAGACGCCCAACAACGGCGGCATAAAGGCCAGCCGTGCAGGCGGAAACACCAGTCGGCGGCGGCGAAGGCAAGCCGGTCGGTGAAGACGTAGACGCCCAACAACGGCGGCATTAAAGGCCAGCCGTGCAGGCGGAAACACCAGTCGGCGGCGGCAAAGGCAAGCCGGTCGGTGAAGACGTAGACGCCCAACAACGGCGGCATAAAGGCCAGCCGTGCAGGCGGAAACACCAGTCGGCGGCGGCGAAGGCAAGCCGGTCGGTGAAGACGTAGACGCCCAACAACGGCGGCATAAAGGCCAGCCGTGCAGGCGGAAGCACCAGTCGGCGGCGGACGAGGCGGCCGGTCGGTGAAGACGTAGACGCCCAACAACGGCGGCATAAAGGCCAGCCGTGCAGGCGGAAGCACCAGTCGGCGGTAGACGAGGCGGCCGGTCGGTGAAGACGTAGACGCCCAACAACGGCGGCATAAAGGCCAGCCGTGCAGGCGGAAACACCAGTCGGCGGCGGCGAAGGCAAGCCAGTCGGTGAAGACGTAGACGCCCAACAACGGCGGCATAATAAGTCAGCCGTGCAGGCGGTGACACCAGTCAGCGGCGGATGCGGCGGCCGATCGGTGAAGACGTAGACGCCCAACAACGGCAGCATAATAGGCCAGCCGTGCAGGCGGAAGCACCAGTCGGCGGCGGACGAGGCGGCCGGTCGGTGAAGACGTAGACGCCCAACAACGGCGGCATAAAGGCCAGCCGTGCAGGCGGAAACACCAGTCGGCAGCGGCGAAGGCAAGCCGGTCGGTGAAGACGTAGACGCCCAACAACGGCGGCATAAAGGCCAGCCGTGCAGGCGGAAACACCAGTCGGCGGCGGCGAAGGCAAGCCGGTCGGTGATGTTCTGACTGATCCATTCCTGGAGCGTAAGAGATAAGCTTAAAGCCATGAATCCCTTTTATGCATATCTGGATCTGGATCCTGCAAAACAAACATATAGGATGAGTAGTATCTGATATAAATATAATACTCGAGAAAAAATCAAGTATTTTAAAATATTTATAAATATGTATTTCTCCTCTTGTCAATTTCGATTTCCCCGAGCAGATGACTCTGTACGTTTAAACACTCTGTCCGACTAGTCATTGCCCCCAAGCATCGGGAGTCGGCCTAGGCATTTCCCAAACATGCATATGAGTGACATGAGTTCGTCATTAATGGAACAAAGTTTCACGGATCAGAATTTACTACTCAGGTACTTTTGCAATTATTAAGAGCAGAAAATAAATTTATCTCATCTCTATGCTTTTGATTTATTCCGAATAATACTTAGCACCTTGCATTACTCGGTCCATCCAACGAGCCCCCGGGTGCTAGGAATCGGCCCAAAGGCAGCCATCCATTGGCAAACCAAACGGAAAGCATAGGAAGATAGAACTCCATAACTCGATAGGTACTTTTGTACTCAGATTATGTCGCAAGCAATCAAGATAAATATTATGAAAAATATGATATAACATCTGTAGCCCCCGACTCACTACTCAATGGAAGACCAATTGGTGTAGTGAGGCAGAGGAAAAGGAAAAATATCATATAAAGAATAAAATAAATGATGACTTAGCTTTGTAATATTCCCCTTGGTGATGGCAGAAGTGGCCAATGTGGGAACAAAGTCGTCCATCAATAACAATGAAGACACCAGTCGGCAGCGACGAAGGCGGTCGACGGTGAAAGCGAAGATGCCCACTAACGGCGGCATAATAGGCCAGCCGTGTAAGCGGAAACACCAGTCGACGGCAACAAAGGTGAGCCAACGGTGAAGATGTAGACATCCAACAACGGCGGCATAATAGGCCAGCCGTGCAGGCGGAAACACCAGTCGGCGAAGGCCAGCCGGTCGGTGAAGACGTGGACGCCCATGAACGGTGGTGTGACCAACCGACCGTATAGGCGGGGACACCAGTCGGCGGCGACGGAGGCAGGCCGACGGTGTAGATGACGATGCCCATCAACGGTGGTGTGACCAACCGACCGTATAGGCGAGGACACCAGTCGGCGGCGACGGAGGCAGGCCGGTGGTGAAGTCGTAGACGCCCAACAGCAGCGGCATAATAGGCCAGCCGTGCAGGCGGAAACACCAGTCGGCGAAGGCGAAGGCCAGCCGGTCGGTGAAGACATGGACGCCCATGAACGGTGGTGTGACCGACCAACCGTATAGGCGATGACACCAGTCGGCGGCGACGGAGGCAGGCCGGCAGTGTAGATGACGATGCCCATCAACGGTGGTGTGACCAACCGACCGTATAGGCGGGGAAACCAGTCGGCGGCGACGGAGGCAGGCCGGCGGTGAAGTCGTGGACGCCCAACAGCGGCGGCATAATAGGCCAGCCGTGTAGGCGGAGGCACCACTCGGCGGCAACGGAGGCATGCCGGCGGTGAAGACGTAGACGCCCAACAACGGTGGTGTGACCAACCAACCATATAGGCGAAGACACCAATCGGCGGCGACGGAGGCAGGCCGGTGGTGAAGTCGTAGACGCCCAACAGTGGCGGCATAATAGGCCAGCCGTGCAGGCGGAAACACCAGTCGGCGGCGGCGAAGGCCAGCTGGTCGGTGAAGACATGGACGCCCATGAACGGTGGTGTGACCGACCAACCGTATAGGCGATGACACCAGTCGGCAGCGACGGAGGCGGGCCGGCGGTGAAGTCGTGGACGCCTAACAGCGGCGGCATAATAGGCCAGCCGTGTAGGCGGAGGCACCACTCGGCGGCAACGGAGGCATGCCGGCGGTGAAGACGTAGACGCCCAACAACGGTGGTGTGACCAACCAACCATATAGGCGAAGACACCAATCGGCGGCGACGGAGGCAGGCCGGCGGTGAAGACGATATCGCCATCAGCAACGGCAGCGGCGCACACCAACCGTGGAGGCGATGAAACCAATCGGCAGCGACGAAGGCGGCCGGCGGTACATGTATAAAATAATAGATCAAATAATAATTAGTGATCTGTGAATTAATTCTAATTTATATAAGAAAATTTAGAACGATAAACCAGATCCAGATAGAATTTTTGGCGACGAAGACCCTGCCCTTTTGTTGAGAGGATCACGGCCAAAGACAAGAGTAGCACCGATGATGCCGGCACAAAGTTCCATCGCACTTCTCGACGGAAAACTCGACGCAACCCCTACCTGGCGCGCCAACTGTCGAAACATGATTTCGGCAATAATAAAACGGGGTAGCGCACGAGACCTAAAAGTGGATGGATGTGGAGACAAAGGATTTAGACAGGTTCAGGCCCTCTCAATGAGAGGTAATACCCTACTCCTGTTTAGGGATTTGAATCCGCCGAGTGTGTATTGATCTGACGATCAGGTTGTCTCATGCCCCCTAGAGGGCCTCCTGCCCACCTTATATAGGATGGGGGGCAGGATTACAAGATAGAAACCTTAACCAATACGGTATCGGTTTCCTAAATCTATTTTACAATATTATCGAATCAGGACTTTAGGCCGCTCCATAATATAAAAGAAAACGTAATACCCAAGTCATGATCGGTTACATATTCCATAGATATATGTTATCCCCTATTACTAGTCGGATAACCATGCCGTGTGGGTGTGGGTATGGGATAGCCTATATGAATACTAATAGACGAGGAGCCGTAGTCATCACTCAGGTCAGCCATTCCCGATGACACAAACTGAGGCATCCTGACTCACGGTGGCCAGCCATTCAGCACGTCATTGGGGTGGTGATGATCCAGAGATTTCGCTTTAAACATCGGGGTTACCGAACATAATCTATTGCGTTTGTCTCATATACAGAGTTAGACGGTAGCTGGTTTCTTTGATAGATCCAAAATGAGAAAGATGATCTCGATGTGATCATTTCTCTTTTAAAAGACTGAAAAAATGTCCTTGCGTTGCAACGGGTGAAGTCTATTTTAATTTTATTATTGTTATATGGTTTAGTTAAGATAAAATTCACTGTGGGAGTTCGTTTGGTCATATATTTTTAGAAAATCATGAGCTACAGTTAGGAGTCCAGTCCGATCATCTCAAGTTAGCATACGAGTTTTTTTAAACATACTTTCTATATGATTCCTTCTGTATTACTAATAGTGAACGATCTTAAAAACTAACTCAAATACGGAACTCAAATACGGATATGTATTTCCAAAAGTAAACGAACTTAATAACCGACTCATACAGAGATGACATGCCAAAATACCGGCAAAAACATCTTTAATTTTTATATTACTACTGGTGTGTTTGGGTCCTTATTCATCAACAGATACGCTAAGTCATGTCACACATTTGGAAGTGAAAGAAAACACATGAACGACGGTAATCGTTGATTAAAATTAAACAAATGTGAATTAGGAAGGGTATTAGCAACTAATCGTCTTATAGAAAGAAATCTAAGCATATGGGGGTGGTTTTTGCAATTTTCCCAAGAAAATATGGGGTCATATTTTTAGCAAAACCGTTCTTAATGTATGCAATATAATCAAGTGGTGTTTGAAAGCATATGTATCTCAAGGACTCAAGGTGTTTGGATACTGCCAAATAAACATTTTGATCAATTAAGCACATATGAGTAATGGTCAATCCATGCTTGCATGCTGGATTTACCTGCATGTAAAACAGTGGCCTCCCAACGATGACTCTGGCGTCTCCAACATCGCACAGGAACCCCTCGGCGCCATGGAACGTCGGCATCGGTGGCTCGCCGAAGTCCTCCAACGTTGCCTCCGCCTCTGCCTCCACGAACACCACCCCTTCGGCGGTGCACTCCACGGCGAGCCTGTGGCCCTTGGGCATCTCCCGCAAGCGGCCGGCGATCGGGTAGTAGTACACCAGGGCCTCTGCTAGGGCCGTTTTGATGCTGTCCCCCGGTCTCGCCGGCCAATGATCGCCGTCTACCGCGTGGAAGAAGTCGAGGCCTGGCTGCAGGTAGCGCAGGTCCCAGTGGTCGTCGAGGTCAGAGAGGGGCTTGCTCTCTTGCGGCGTCGCCCTCGCGGGCGTAATCAACTCAGGGTTTCCCCAGCGGCGTGACATGAACGATTTTTGCTTCATGATTCTATATGTATATGTTTGGATGGATGATGATGGAAGATATTGCAGCTACAAATACAATGCGTGCCAACAATTTGTGCATGTAAACACAACTGATGAGTGCTACACTTTATGGAAAGGTTTGAATTTATATATACAAGCTTAGGAATATTCCTTCTGTTTTTTAATAGATGATGTTGTTGCCTTTTTTTAATATATACAGGTTGCACCTCGTCACTGTCTGGTTTGAGGAGTAGGTGTCCAGTCTGGTGGGCCTTGGCGGCGTGGGGTTTGAGGAAAGTGACGTGCACGGTTGGTAACAGATCAAGGTGTGGAAGTAATAATGGTTAGGAGAGGTTGCACCTTGTCGCTGCCTGGTCTGAGGAGGAGTCCAATGAGTGGGCTGAGATCGTGTCATTCGCATCACGCATAGGAAAAGAGGGAGGGAGAAGAAGAGAATTAGGTTAATATGCTTGCACAAATCGTGGCACACAATTGAGCTACATAAAAATGACTTAAATTTGTCGAAATTTTCTGCACTAAGAACTAGACATCGCAATTGCACTACTGGAGAAACCCAAATTGGTGTCGGTTAGGAACTGGTCCTAAACCAATTTAGCGGTATCAATGCTGAATAGCATATGTGCACCTATAAAAAAAAAGTATAGGCTATTACATTATAAGTCCTAATAGATGCCCGTTATGTTATTATAACCGATACCTTCGGCTAGAATAGGTGCCGGTTATGTTATTATAACCGATACCTTCAGCTAGAATAGTTGTCAGTTATTACCTTATAACCGACACCTATTCTAACTGATAGGCACTAGTTATTTTGTTATGAGAAGGCAATTGTCAAAATATAAGAATTTTTAGGATTAGAGATGTGTATTAAAATAGTAGTTAGAATTACATATGTGAACATTGTGAACATTGTGACTAGGTATGAAAATTAAATAGTAGAGTGTTGTGATTGATTGCAAATAGAATGTTGGTGAAAAATTTGTTATATTTGAACACAAATTTTAAAGGTTGAAAGTTGTTATGATTTGAGAAGGGCTTTTCTTTCTTGGATAGAAAAACATGTGACTAGGCGGGTGTGTTTGAGAAGAGAAAGAAAGGAGTTTGGAGAGGTACGCAAATCGAGGTGATCAGCTATTAACGTGTGATTAATTGAGTATTAATTATTTTAAATGAAAAATAGATTAATATGATTTTTGAAAAAAAAACATTATAAAAAACACGCCATTTAGCCATCCGAATAGGATTTGCTCAAAAAATAGTCCACTCTTCTCCAATTCCTTTCCATCACAAATGATTGCTGCCTAAACTTGTTTCTTGCCTACAGAGTGGCTGTACTCTGCGTGGCCTTTCTGTTTTTTTTCCCATTTTATTCGCTCTCGATGGTCTTTTCTTTTTTAAGGCGTCTTTTTTTGTAAGGCAAGATCGAGGCCAAAGATAGGCTCTGTAGGGATTCGGATCGTCTGATTTGCGAAGTAATGTCACGGGCGTGCAGTTATACCACATCCAGAGCAAAGATGATGATTGCTACGTCTAATGGGCATGCTCTTAACGACATTTTGTATCTCAAAGTGTTTGGATACGGCTGAATAAACATTTTTGACAAAATTAAGCACATATGAGTAATGGTCAATCCGTGCATGCATACTGGATTTACCTGCATGTAAAACAGTGGCCTCCCAACGATGACTCTGGCATCTCCAACATCGCACAGGAACCCCTCGGCGCCACAAAACGTCGGCATCGGCGGATCGCCGAAGTCCTCCAACGTCGCCTCCGCCTCCGCCTCCACAAACACCACCCCTTCGCCGGTGCACTCCACAGCGAGCTTGTGGCCCTTAGGCAGCTCCCGCAGGCGGCCGGCGATCGGGTAGTAGTACACCAGGGCCTCCGCGAGGGCCGCCCTGATGGTGTCCCCCGGCCTCGCCGGCCGACGGTCGCTGTCGACCGCGCGGAAGAACCTGAGGGCTGGCTGCAGGTAGCGCAGGTCCCAGTGGTCGTTGAGGTCGGAGAGCGGCTTGGTCTCGCACGGCGTCGCCCTCGCCGGCGTAACCAGCTCGGGGTTTCCCCGGCGGCGTGCCATGAACGATTTCTGCTTCATGATTGTATATGTATGTTTGGATGGATGAAGATGTAAGATACTGCTACTATACAAATACAATGTGTGCCAACAATTTGTGTATGTAAACACAACTTATGAGTGCTAGAGTTCAAGGAAAGGGTTTAATTTATATATACAAGCTTAGGAATATTCCCTCTGTTTTTTAATATATGCCATTGATTTTTAAGATATGTTGGATCATTTGTTTTGTTTTATTTATTTATTTTATTGTGACTTGATTTATCATCAAATGTTTTTTTAAGCATGACTTCAAATTTTATCTATTTGCACAAATATTTTAAATAAGACTAATGGTCAAACGTTTGTCAAAAAAATCAACAGCATCATGTATTTTAAAAAAAGGGTAAAGTACGCCAGAGACTAAGAGAAGGAAATATTTAGTTCCGGACGCTGGATAGGGCAGAACCTATCGCTGCCACCGAAAGGGCTGTATCACCAAAAGAAAACGTCAGGTGAATATATATATATATATATATATATATATATATATATATATATATATATATATATATATATATAGTGAATCTTGTGTGTTCACACAAGTCATTTTCTGTTGACCCCTATGTGTCTTGTGTGTGAGTCTTGTGTGTACTCACACGTCATTGTATATATGTTGTACATCTAAAATAAACTCACGGCTTTTATTTACATATTTGAGGGCACATTTTCATGTGCCGGTAGCCTGGTAGCGTGGTAGCTAGCATAGTACGTACGTACCACGTGAAATTCCTCTTCCAGGTTTGATTAGAACCTCTAATCTCTAATTACCGTGGGCCAAAACTCCACGTACGGTAGATATCTGAGAGAGAAACCTTAAAATGAGATGTTCTATCTGACATATATAATTATTAAATATATGAGTACGTGATAACATACATATCAACGGATTACAGCAGACTAGGTATAATATTCCAAGTTATATATATGCATTGGCTCAAGATTAAAAAAGGTTAGGAAAAAATGGCATTTGTCAAACCATGCTACTAGCATAAGGCCTTGTTTGTTTAATCCCCGAGAGAGGAGGAATGGAGGGGATTTGCAGAGAATAAATCTATACCATAATAGATATGGAATAAATCCCCTCTAAATCTCTCTCAATCCTCTTATGGGAGGGATTAAACGAAATAGGTCTCTAAACATAATTTTTGCCTGGAATGTGACATGTATTCTACGTTGGCCATTTTTTTACGTCTCATTCGTCTTTTCTTTTTAAGAAAATACTCCATCCGTTTCACAATGTAAGACTTTCTAGCATTACTCACATACATATAGATGTTAATGAATCTAAACACATACATATGTGTAGATTCATTAACATCTAAATAAATAAATATGGACAATACTAAAAAGTCTTACATTGTGAAACGGAGGTAGTAGGACCTAAAAGTATCTCGATTCACTAGAATATTTAACTAGCTGCCACTTTTACATGTGGCAAGTAATGATTTGCTATCTTAGGCTGACATGTCAATGACATATAAAGGTACATATGTCATTGACACATAGTTTAATGCTAAACATAAAAGTGATAAATAGTTAAAGTTAGTACTTACAGTACACAACTTACACGCGTAGAGGATTGCTAGATGCCAGCACCATCAACAGTGTCTTCCCATTTGGGGAGGCTGGAATACTGGATAGAGAGGAGGGAACTCGGAAAAAGAGGAGGGGTAAGAGCATCTCCAAGAGAATAGCTAAGTGACTCTCCAAGCCAAATATTAGCCAGTATAGCAAAAAAAAAATACCCTCCAACAGAATACCTATCTCGCTGGCCAAGTTATCCTGCTGACCAAATAGTCCCACCGGCTAGCTAAATCTGGCCAGCCACAACCCACTAGCCAACGGTGGCCCCCACACGCTGGCCACTGGCCCACCGCAAGAACCCCGTTGCCTCCCCCTCCAGCGCAAGCGCAACGACGAGGAGTAGCCGCGCCGCCACGAGTCCCCCCGTCGTCTCCCCTCCGGCGAAAGCGCAACGACGAGGAGTAGCCGCGCCGCCGCGAGCCCCCCGTCGCCTCCCCCTCCGGCGCAACGACGAGGCAGCAGCCGCGCCGCCGCGAGCTCCCCGCGACCCAAATCTCCCCGTTGCAATCAAGATAGAGGGGAGAAGGGAAGAAGAACAGCGGCGGGGCGGGAGACTGCGCTGTCCACTGCCTCCATCTTCGCGCCTTCGCTCCGACCTCGCCGAAGCCGCTGTTGCCGAGGTCCCCGTCGTCGTCAAGGTCGCCATCGCCATCCACCGTTGCTGCCCTCCTCTGTCGCCAGTCGTCGCTGCCGTCGTCTGCACCGTCGCCATTCGTTGCCGTCATCACCAAGGTCGCCGTCGTCTAGAGGCCTCTGGCCCCACGCGGCGTCCGCCGCCGCCTCTGCCCCCGCCGGATTCGGGGTGGGGGCGCGACCTCCGCCGCCTCCACGCGGCCTCCGGCCCCGCGCGGATTTGGCCGGCGGGGTGGATTGGGGGGGCCGCGCGGCCTCCGCCTCTGCTCCATGGGTCGCCGTCGGCACACGGTCTTCGTTGCGCACTTGCACGGGAAGGGAGGAGAGAAGAGGAAGAGAAGAGGAAGAGGGAGAGAAAGAGGAGGAAGGAGTAGTAGAGGCTGACGGGTTGGTCCCAGTGTCATAGACTCGTAATAGAGAGTGTAGATGGAGAGGCTGTTGGAGTGAGGAGTGAGTTTGGCTCGCCAAATCAATTGGAGAGTTGGCTATATGGGTGTTTGGAGAGTCCGATTTAGAGAGGCTGTTGGAGATGCTCTAACTTACCAGTGATAACGGCAGCAATCTTCTCTATCGATGACAAGATCCTTCTCTTTTGGGATATTTAACTATTTAACACTTTTAAGATGTAGCATTTAACTATTTAACATTTTTAAGATGTAGCATTTAACAATTTATTACTCATAATATATGACATGTGAACCCTTGTGTCTGTATATGATATGCATGTCCAATGATAAATTATTAAATGATACATCCAAAAGTGACAAATAGTTAAATATATCTCTCTTTTCGAGCGCTGATAACATCCCAACTCTAACAGAGGATCTATGGTTTAGGATTGGGATCATACAGTACAACAGAAATAAAGGATCTATGCAGTCGGCCAGAAGACATCTTCACAAGCGGGCAGTGCAATCTCTTGCCGTTAGGTGTCTATAGAAATCAATATTTTTCTAAGCGGACAGCACAACCGCACGTGTAAAGTGATTTTCGCAAGTAATCAAGTTACGCCGCCCGCTTGCAAAAAGGAAAAACGCGAAACAAAATAAAAATTACAAAAGAAAATTAACCCCGGCTTTGGCGTGGTGCCCTCCACTATTGGAGAAATGTTCTTTGTCCGGACGGTAAAAATCACATTAGTCCCGGTTCAAAAGTCCAATGAAACTTTATGATCTAAAGATCAATTTTAGTTCCGGTTCAAAAAGTCATCAGACTGCCACTATTTTTAGTCCTGGTTGGTAACACCAACCGGGACTAAAGATGGATCTTAATCCCGTTTTTTCATAGCAACCGGGACAAAAAAAAATCGGAGCAACCGCTCAGCCACGCCTCCCCACCTCGTGCTTATCACCTCGATCGGCGCGGCCTCCACTTCTTGCGTTATGTCCTCCTCCACTCCACACGCGACATGCCTCCCCTCTCCTCCACTTCTCCCCTTCCCCTCTCCGGGGGAGGCAGCACATGAGGCGGCGGGTGGTAGCTTGATCTGGTGGAGGGGAGGCTGGGAGGTGGATGCGGCTGCGGCGGCGCACGAGGACGTGGCAGCGGTGGCACACAAGGCCATGGCAGGCGGAGGCTGCTGCGGTGGCGGATGTGGCCGTGGCGGCCAAGAGGCAACGGGCTAGGATGCCAGGAGGGCGATGGGATGGGAAGCGGCGCACCGCCGGGCGACCGACAGATGTGGCTTTGTGGTTTTATTTTAGGTTTTTTTTGAATGATTTGTAGATTGTGTTGTATATATTTTTAGATTTGGGGATGATTTTGTGAATTATTTGTGGATTGTGGATGGTCATGTGAAGTGTGGATTATTTTGTTGTGCATGATTTGTGGGGATTTCGGTGTGACTCGTTGGTGCTCGAAATCAATAGATGCAAGCAGCAAAACACAATGAAAAAAAGAAAAAAAAAATTGTAGTCCCGATTAGTAACAACAACTGGGACTAAAGATGGGCATCTTTAGTTCTGGATTCGGGCTCCCGGTATACAACCCGGGACTAAAGGGGTTGCAAACTGGGACTATTGTGGGTTTCTCTAGGAGTGCCCGGACAGCCACTGCCAATGGAACCACCCATTGTCATCTCAGCAAGCAGCCAGCTGGTCGTGATCACGGGCATCGTTGCGTCACTGAGATGAAGGTACCGTCATTGGTAAAGCCGTCACTGAGAGGAGGCGGGAGAGCCAGATCCTCCATCCCCAACCTCCCCCGTGGCGGGTCAGTACTAGAAAAACCTCCAAATCATTTTAGTTGGGGTGTTTACAAAAATTATTTTTGTATTAGTGATATTCCTGGTAGGAGGGGAGCTGGGAGATAAGGAAGAGGGGTTTGTTAGTCTTAGCGGGACGACTATGTGCGGCCGTCGGACAGCTGATGGGTGGCGGACACAGCAGGTTGGCACCTGAGGAGGTGTATTGCTGCGAAAGACGTGGGATTGGAGGAAAGTGACGCACATGGTTGGTAGCGGATCGAGATGTGGAAGTAATAATGGTTAGGACAGGATGCACCTCGTCGCTGCCTAGTTTGAGGACTCCAGTCTAGCGGGCCATGGAAGCGTTGGAACAGGTGAGTGGGCGAGAACATCTTGTTCGCATCACGCATAGGAAAAGAGGTGGGGGAGAAGAAGAGAATTAGGTTAATATTCTTGCACAAATCGTGGCACACAATAGAGCTACATACAAGTGACTGAAATTTGTGGGAATTTTCAGCACTGAAAACTACACACCGCAATTGCACTCATGGAGAAACACATACTGGTTCTGGCTGGGAACTAGTCAGAGGTGCCGGTTTCCTAGCTAAAACCAATTTGATGGTACAAATACCGAATACCATAGGTGCACCTGTAGAATTATAGGTATCAGTTATTACATTATAATCGGCACCTATAAGTCCAAATTGGTGTTGGTTATATTATTATAACCGATAACTTCAGCTAGAATAGTTGACGGCTGTTACCTTGTAATCTATTCGAACTTATAGACACTGGCTATTACCTAGCAATTGTCAGAATAAAGAATTTATCGGATAGGACATGTGTATTAAGATAGTAGATAGGATTAAACAAATAACGGTTGTGATTGGTTAAGTTGTAGATGTAGGTGAGAAATTTAAATGGTCGAGTGTTGTGATTGATTGAAAACAGAATGGAAAAATATATTATATTTGTAGACAAATTCTAAAGAATAAAAGTTCATATAATTTGGGATAGAGGAAATAGAAGTTCTTCATCCCACAAAAGGCAGATAGGGAATAGTATTTTTTTTCTTGAATAGAAAAGCATGTGACTAGGCGGGTGTGTTTGAAGAAGAAAAAAAACGAAAATTGAGAAGATACGCAAAACGAGCTGTGAATCATTAGTGTGTGATTGATAGTAGTATTAATTATTTTAAACTTAAAAAATATATTAATATGATTTTTGAAAGAAATTTTAAAAATGTCTCTTTCAATCACAAATGATTGCTGACTAAACTTGTTTCTTGCCTTTAGAGTAGCTGTACTCTACGTGGCATTTTTTTCCCCTATTATAGTCTCTTACAGACTGGTTTAGGATTGTCTTTTTTTTTTCATTAATTTGCGGCCCTTTGTGCAAGCTGCATGCTGGAAGCCTAATTATTAATGCTGATGAATCAAGACGCCTCTACGGCCGATCTCGGGCCTCTTGCCTTTAAATAAAACGAACGCCTTAAAAAAGAAAAGACCATAGTGTCTAGTCCAGTCCTCGGAAGTTCGTACTCTCTCCGTCTTTAAAAAAAAATAAATAAACCTTAAGTTTTCGTGTCTAACGTTTAAATGTCCGTCTTATATAAAATTTTTTTATAATTAGTATTTTTATTATTGTTAGATGATAAAACATGATTAATACTTTATGTGTGACTTGTCTTTTTAATTTTTTTTATATTTTTTTCAAATAAGACGGACGGTCAAACGTTAACACGAAAACTTAGGGTTTGTTTTTTTTGACAGAGAGAGTATACTAGATGGTACGTGTTGTCAGGTGGATGCAACAACAGAGCATGACATGACACTACAGGTCAGATGGGCTCCACAGAAGAGGTGCGAGACGTGGCCTGGCTGCTGGGGGTCGACGTAACGTCGGCGCCGTGAAGTTAGTTTATGCCGAAAACGCTATGTATCGTACGTCCGAACGGAGAAAAAAATATCGGACGAAAGCGTTACGGTGGGGCCCACCACCCATCCTTCCCGCAACCTCCTCTCAACCTTATCCTCTTTTGCTGCTCGCTCTTCTGCTTCACAAAAAAATTTCCCATTTTACGAGCGAGGCGGCGAGAAGGTTGTGCGCCGCCGCAACTTCCTTGCCGCGATCCTCGGCGATGGCGGGCGACACGCCCACAACAACGATGTCGGCGGCGGCAACGACGATGTGAGCGCGAAGGATCCTCCCCGGCGGTCCACCTCCCAGCTCTCCTCGATAGTCCAACACAAGCGGCGGCCGGATGCCAATAGCGCGGTGGAGTCGCCGCAGCCGCCGCTGGACGAGGCGCCCAACTCACCCGAAGGCAGTAGCACCAGTAGCTGGAGGTTCCCTTTCCCCTTGCCGGCAAGGCAGGCAGGCAGCACCGCCGCAGGAACACTGGCATGGGCACCAGCGGTGATGGGATCTCAGAATAGAAGAAGGCAGAGGTGTGTTTGTTTTGGGAATTTTAGTGAAGTTGCATATTATTTGTATCTTTGTTGCACTTTGTTCTATTAAGTTGTTTCGTTCTGTTTTGATTCTTTGTTGCATACATCGATTTTTGGTGTTGCAATCCGTATGTTCGACTATTGATTTGGTTGAAACAATTTTGATCAAGCATTGAAACATTTTTTCTCTGCTAGTGAAACTTTCACTCATTGTTGCATATATAGATTTTTGGTGTTGCAATCGGTATGTTTGACTATTGATTTAGTTGAAATAATTTTTCTGAAACACTGAAACATTTTTCTCTGCTAGTGAAACATTTAAAACATTTTAATTACTGAAACAATTTTTATCAAAAGATGAAACATGTGAAACATTTCTGAACAACACAGTGCAACACCGTCCGATGATTTCCATAATATCGGACGTCCGATTTGTAGCAGCCTCCAGTTTATGCTGGTGAAATGGATTGATGGCTGGACGGACCACGCGTGCGCGGCAGCGTAATTCGGTAATAGGGCATGACAATTAATAACAGTCTTCTCAGAATTGTTAACTTCACATGACAAGATTGATGAAGGGTAGTTCTCTCCAGACAAATACTCCCTCCGTCCAAAAAAAAAGGCAAACCGTGAATTCCTGTGCCAATGTTTGACTGTCCGTCTTATATGAATTTCTTTTATAATTAGTATTTTTATTGTTGTTAGATGATAAAACATGATTAATACTTTATACGTGACTTATCTTTTTAAATTTTTTCATAATTTTTTTAAATAAGACGAACGGTCAAACGTTGGACACGGAAACCAGTGTTTGCCTTTTTTTGGGACGGAGGGAGTACACCAGAAGGCCAGTTCACTTAATGGATATGAAAACTGGCAAAGGAACTTGATTTTAGGCGATATAGATTCGAAATGACAGCTTCTCGCACAGGTGTTGAATAGGCAATTAGCAAGGAGAAGAAAAAGTTTTTCAATCCAGGAGTTCTAATCTCTCCTCCTCGCCTTGTTTAGTTCGCGAAAAGAAAATTTTTGGTATTACATTGAACGTTTGACCGATGTCGAAAGGTGTTTTTGGAAAAAAAAAACTAATTTCATAACTCACCTAAAAATCGCAAGATGAATTTATTAAGCCTAATTAATCAATCATTAGCACATTTGAGTTACAGTAACACTTATAGCTAATCATGAACTAGTTAGGCTCAAAAGATTCGTCTCGCGATTTTCATTTAAACTGTGTAATTAGTTTTTTAATCTATATTTAATGCTCTATGCATCTGTTAAAAATTCAATGTGACGTTTTTGCTAACAAAAATCAGAAACTAAACCAGGCCTGATATGAGAAAGATAAAAGAATAGACAGACAAAGATGATTCTTATGTATGCCAACTACTTAATATGTACACTTAACATTTATGAAAGGAAAACACTGATGCACACGAAAGGAGAAAAGTAAAGATGTTGGTAGATTTATCGGCTAAGTGCCGATCAGTTAGTTGGGAAGGGATAAATTCCACTTATCCGTTTCCTAACAAAAATTAAGAGATAGAAGTACTATGATCGGTTAAATCAATCTCCTAACCGAGTTGGACATATAATCCAATCCCTCTCAGTACCTAATATAAAGAGATTAAGTGCACGTGAGAAGGGACGACATACTCTCTGACATTACCATAAAACCATAAGGCTGTGTTCATTTGGGTGTGTTAGGAACAAATCTCCTGTGCATGGAAAACGGATTGGTCAATTAGCACGTGATTAATTAAGTATTTATTATTATGTTTTGAAAAATGGATCAATATGATATTTTAAAGAAACTTTCGCTAAAATTTTTTTTATAAAAAACGCACCATTTAGCGGTTTGAAAAGCATACATGCGGAAAACGAAGGAGGTGAGCTGGGGAAAGAACTCAGCCTAAATCACCCATTCAACTTAGCACTAGAAGGGGTTCGTGAGACGATGTCGGGAAACCCTCGTTGGTGAAAGTAAGAGAAGAGAAGAGAAACCAAATTAAGAAGGAATGAAGAAAAAGAAGAAACAAATGGTGAAAATAAATACCGATAGCTTCTCAAGCAGGTCGGTATATTAAAAATTATGCATTAAGCGGAGGTGATTATGGATCGGCCAAATCATTAAGATCTTATAAATTTAAACTCCATCATTGTAGTTTCAGAGCCTAAGTTTAGCCTACTTAATCTCTCATCGTCCCTGTTTAAGCCATATGTGCCCCTTTGAAACCTCCAAAATTTATTCGGCTTGAAGAATTTTAAGTTAACAAGGAAGATAGCCCGCGCATTCACGCGGGCATGTGTCGTACGCTAAGTTTGAGATATTTATAAGAGCGAAATATTAAACAGAGAATATCTACCATGATTTCTCCATAAATTGTTTTGATCTGTATTAATTGCTTTTATAATTTTCTAACCTATTAGTTTTATACTGTATAATATTTAAATAATATCTATAAGCAATTATTTGTAATCTTCTTTATCATTTGAAATTAAGGTAGACTTATTTTTTAAAAAAACATGTCAACGAAAGTAAAAATAAGGTGTTTTTGAAATTGCATATCTATTATCATAGTTCATTAAAGGATTAATTAGATGGAACATGAAGCTCCACTAAATGTTTGGGTTTATATAGTCTAATATGATTGATGTAGTTTAAGAGACGATCATATATGAACATTTCTTATAGGGTGGGTGAGAGGCTCCATGCAGCCTAATATGAATACGATAACGACGAAATATAATTGCGCAATAATATTTTGAAAATACCATGTACCACGAATGCATTCTTATTTTTTTATGTAAGATAGATCTAACCATTATAACTAATAATTTACCAGTTTAAAAGGCATAGGAGTATTGCAGAAATGTAGCTTAAAAATTATGGTTGTTTTAATATCCAACTTTATTGCGAAGTGAGCGCACCTCAACTGGTTAGGTTTCTTATGGTGGAACTTGCCCACCCAAGTTCAAGTCCTAGATTTGACATGGGTGTTCGTATTTATGACTAATTATTCTTTCAGTGGTAGGTGACATACCATCGATAGCGAGACGCCGTGGTAACTTCTTCAATCTCAAAATGTACCGGCTCAGTGGTCGGTGACGTACCCATCGACAGCGAGGCGTCATGGTAGTCTTTTATATTCTTTCTGTTTTAGTTTTATAGCTAAGAGAGAGGGAAGGGACGCTAAAATCTATTTGATTTTTTCTTAAAAATGTATGGATTTTTGAATAATAGCTAGTACGTAGAATATGTATGATCCAAAGTAATGATTTTTTTTTAATAATATAGTTAACTTGGTTCTTTAATTTTAAATTTTATAGTAAATAATCTAATTTATCTCCTACTTAGGCTACATTCGATCTCTGCTACATTTGATCTCATCGGTTGAGCTTATGTAGGGCACACAAAACGACATAGGCCATTAGCGCATGATTAATCAAGTATTAAATATTACAAACATGAAAATAATTTTTTTAAAAAAAATGTATTGAATGTATTTGCACAACACGCATAGTTTAGTAGTTTGGAGAACATGCTCAAGATAAATGAGGGAGCCAATTTGATAAGCACTTTACAGCTCAACCTTAAAATTGTTACTTATGTACTTAAAAAAAATATGTACAAATCAAATGCGTATATCAATGTTACGTATTTTGTTCCATTCTTTTCGTGAGTAGCGAAGTACGGAAGTACGTATACGTACGTGTGTGTGTATATATATATATATATATATGTGTGTGTGGAATGCCTTTTAAATAAACTAGGAAGGTAGCCCGCGCATTCGCGCAGGCATGTATCGTGTGCTGCATTTGAAAACGGATTATATTTATCAGATAGCCTCTGCCATGTTTTGGAAGTACATTTCCTCAGCAAATATTTTTCGTTGACATCACGTTGATAATTTCTCTATGCTATATACTATATAGTATTTAATTAATCTGTATAAGCAATTATCTATAATCTTCATCATCATCTAAAAAGGAGTTAGACCTAGTTTGTTTAGAAAACATGTTTATTAAATTAAAAGCAAGGTGTTTTTTTCTTTTTTTTTTGTTGAATGCTTTGGGCCCTGATGGTGAAAACATAAGACAGCTAAATTCATTGTTCCTTTTCCCCTACCATATGATTTTCATGCAGCTCCTAGTCACCGTGTTGAGATGTGGTCATTGCACCTATGGAGGTTGTCTTGTGATTCATCGTACTTGTGATCACTTTTTTTGTCAAGCTTAGTTACTCCTATTTTCATTTCTTGTTATATCGTAAAATCTAAATGGACTCCAAAGTTAATCATTAAAGTATATATGTACAACAAAAATATATTTGCAGACAATTAATGTTCATATATAGGGATGATTCACCTTTTGAATGATCTATGCACAAAGAAAATAAACGGAATTACCCGAAATGCTTAGAAGGCCAGAACAACACACTTGAACATATAACAATGATATACTAATTAAAAGTGCATTAAGCACCATCTAAAGTCAATTAGATGGTAACATAGTTTAGAGCAGATACACGAAAGATCATTTAGCTTGCTTGGATTATTTTAGCACATTTTTAAAAAAAATCATGAAGTAATCAGATATTCTCTAACTAAAGCCATTGGATTTTCGATGCATTGGTGCTTTGGACTTCATATTTTAGTTAGTCCTATTTGCTTAGATAGTGTATATCTAATTTAGCTATGCATGTTTGACAAACAACATATGATGATGCAACCTGTATTGGATTATTTCGTAATTCTTTTACAGCAATTCAAATGACATGTAAAAGGGCAGGGATGTTCTTCCTTAATAAAAAATGTTTCATAGTTCACTTTGAAAATTTTGTTTGGATAACTATTGATTTAATTTAGCTATACATGTTTGCAGAATGATGTATAGTGATGTAATATGTGCAGCAAATTTGTTTAAGGTAATTCAATCATATTTGGATGGTATGCAAAGCGCGCGGGATGAATGTGGCTGAATGTCATATTTTGTACATAGGAAAATATAAGGATACGGATCTTAAATTCTTAGTTTAATTATAAACAGAGCAACAATTATATTAGAAATCAGGCGTAGATTAAAAATTATGGTTGTTTTAATATATTAATTATTTCTCTTTTAGCTTACTCATACCCAAAAATAGGGATGGGATTAGCAGTGGTCTTCACGCATGTGAAGGGGGCGAGGAGGTAGATGCGATTTGTTTTTATAACTTCTCCAAATAATGTAACTTAAAACCAATGATAACAGGTTTAATTTTTTCTCAAAATTTCTAAGATTATTTATGATTTTCAGGACAAGACATGTGGCGGCGTAAGATTTTTCGTAAATTAAATTTAATGGTTGAAAATAATGGTCCATGAATTTAATTGAAATATTTTATAATTTTAAAATGTGACATATGGTGACTTAAGTGTGCTCTAAAGGTGTTTAATTGGTTTTTATTACGTAGACTGATTTAATATGAATAATACATGTTTTCATTCTATTATAATTTTTCATTTTCATTCAGTTTCCATGCAAAGGAGTATTTTAATTTTTATATAGTAAAATACAACTATAATGGATATTGAATTATTCAATTAATTTTAAATAAAACAATAGTTAAAATAAATGAAAAAAAATAAAATATAATTTTAGAAATTATAAGCCATTTAGCTTTTTTTTTAATATTAGGTTGTTAGATAAAAAATATAAGGCGAGAGATTAGAGGAAGTATATGTATAGCAGGACGAGAGATAGAGATTTTTTTTCTGAGACATATTCCAACGGATCCTAGTCTTTAGTTATCTATTTTTAAAATATAGATATAATTTTAGATCTATTAGAAAATGTGTTGGGTGTTGTATTTACTAATATAAGCTAAATGTTGCCAATCATATGGTTTAAAAATCTAATTGTATCGTGTGACCAATAGGTAGTTGCTAGCAGCATATGACCCAAAGAAATACATTTATTTTAAATGTAGTTAATGTAGGTATTGAATTCTAAATTTTATTGTAAATAATCTCATGCTGTGCATAGATAAAAAAAATTGCTATTTAGATGGTATAGTTGTTGAAAATAATTTATTACAAAATATGTTTTTCAATATTAATTAAGAAAATGCTTGAAAATAGGAGGGCATGTCGCCCTCATGTATTAGGGTGAGGGCAAGGATATATGATACATAACTACGTACATATACCTAACGTAATGTAATGGATGGCAGCGGTGGGGTGTGGGCCTTTCTTTTTCTTTTTTTTTAAGTAAGTCCGATGGTAGAAAATATGGGTCCACTGTATATTAGTGAAAGTCGATGGCTAGATGTTTTGTTTTTTCTATAATTTGCTAGAGTGAGACATGGTGAGATGAGAGCATTTGTAGAATGCCATATTTTTAACGGTTTAAGAGTGTTTGTAGAATGCCATATTTTTAACGGTTTAAGAGTGTTTCTAGGATGTTTAATAGACTTTTAGTATATTATAGATTATCAAACAACTAACTATTATATATCAGCCCCATACGTCGTGATGTATTTAGGACCACAATATAACTTTTATAATTTAATTAAAGTACAACGGAATCACAAATTGGATATATAATTTAAAAATAATTTAGAAGATAGTTCGAGGAACATTGATTGGATATTTTATATTATTATTATAGATCTTAGTTTAACTATATATATTTATATTTGTGTTGTAGTTTTTTTAGAAAACAGATCATCGATTTTTATGATGTATTATTTTATTATCTTTTCTATGTACGTGCGTACTGTTTTTTTCTTTTCTTTCCAGTGAACAGTACGTAAACTATTTGTTTTGTTTTTGTGTAGGTAAGTACGCACGGGAGAAGGACGTGGTTTGCATCGTATCAACTTGTACGTACATGGCAACAATAGTAGTGCTTAAATCATACAAAGAGAAAGTTATTATTTTTTAATAATAGATCTAATCCAATGGTGTAAAATGGCGGATCCACCAATTTAAGTGAAAATCGATGGTGGGATTTGATAATGCCATGTGGCGGTCTAGGAGCATTTGTAGTACACCACGTGGCGGCTTATGAGCGTTTGTAGTGTTAAATAGACCATAGAATTTATATACTAAATAAAAATGACTGTCATATTCAAACAGAAATCACTTTGTCTCAATTTTATGTAAACTCGCCTATCACCATCCTCCGCAAGATTTTTTTTTCTTTTATTATACATCTAATTCACCTATGTATGTTTATGGATAATATACGAAGGAATAATTTATATTGTTGAAATTATTTGTGCTAATTGTTAATGCTATTTACATGAGAACGACATAATTAAAAATGATATTATATGGTTCCATATGACATTTTCGATTGTACGTATGTATATATATTTTTTCTAGTGAATAGTAATATGTCGTACGCACTTACTTTTTTCCTTTTTTGAACAAATATTTTTCTCTCATATGGGGTAGGGTATGCGTATATGTATTCATGGAGTGAGTATGTACACGTTTATATGAGCGCCTATGATTACCTTTACAATATTTTAAAAAATCTTTCAAAAAAATTGGTGGGATGGCGTGAAGTGGCGCCATAGCGGCGTTGATTCTTTGATAACATCGCCAGGAGTGGTTGCTATATACATGTATAATTTGAAGAAAACCTTAGGGCTATAAAGAGAGAAACAGAAAACTACCAAGATGGGACAGATCGTATGCACTCTTCTCTTTTTCTTCTTTTCGATATCTCTTGTGTGCATACGTACATAGGGATAGATTAGCTGATTTTTAGAAGCAAGGGATTAGAATATATCTAATCTAATGGTTGAAAATGGATTCATCGGTTTAAGTGTAAATTGATGACCAGATGTTTTGCCTTTTTTTCTTATATTTAGCGTCACATAGCATCTTAGGCTGTGTTCGGCAGTGACTGTTCCCATCCTCTCCTCCTCGTTTTCCACGCGTACGCTTTTCAAACTACTAAACGGTGCGTTTTTTTGCAAAAAGTTTATATACGAAAGTCGCTTAAAAATCATATTAATCTATTTTTAGAAAAAAATAGCTAATACTTAATTAATCATGCACTAAATACTGCTCCGTTTTGCGTGCCAGGTAGTGAGGGTTGGGAACCCTCACTCCCGAACGCAGCCTTAGGAGTATTTGTAGGAGTGTAGGAATGCTATTACTCATACTCACAATCTATTGTAGTCAACTATTATTTGATGTGGCTTGGTGGCACTCTCTATTTATCTATCATTTGTTCATACATGCCCTTAGCCTGAGTTTGGAACTGAGAGTTCCCAGCTCTCCTCACTCATTTTCCGCACACACGTTTCTCAAATGGCTAAATAGTGTGATTTTTGCAAAAAAAAATTCTATTGGAAAGTTGCTTTAAAAAATCATATTGATATATTTTTCAAGTTTTTTTAGGATAATACTTAATTAATCATGCGCTAATAAACTGCTCCATTTTCCGTGCCAGCGGGAAACATTCCCAACTCTAACGAATGAAAAGCAGCATTAGTATTGTCCTTTATCCTCTGTGCTTCATGACAAACGTGTTCATTGGATGTCAGCTAATTATTAGACGCAATGTGCATGGATACCATGTAAGCAATATGACTTGGCAATTGGTGGATAGTGGTTTGTATATAGAACTTAGGGATAAATTAGTGGGGACATTATTGAAAAATTATATATTGTATGCTACATATTAGTTTTAGTACATACGTAATATATTTATAGTTAAGTTCTAAAACACTACCGAATTGCTAAATGGTGTGTATTTGAAAAATATTTTCTATACAATTTTTTTCAAAATCAAATAAATTCACTTTTGAGTTTATAATATTTAATACTTAATTAATATTGCGCTAATAACCTACATCGATTCGTGTGCCCTGGACATGCTCAACCAATGAGCTAGATGGAACGAAGGCTAAGTAGGAGATAAAGAACATCAATATGGTGTCAAAAGAATATATTTGTTCTTTAATTTTCTAATAATATATGAATAGAGAAAACACAAAATACATGAAAAGTACATTTATGATAAATTTAGAAGTGTCATTTTGATATATGTGTATTTTTTATTGTTGGAGTTATTTTTTTCGAAAATATAAGTCGTATCTAATTTAACTATTATATAATCTACATTTTTCAATTCATTTATGTTTTTCATGGATTTTTCGATGACATGTGTCTAATTAGAATACAACTCGAAATAACATATTCCCTCTATCCAAAAATATAATAATTTCACTATGAATCGGGACTAATACTTGTTCAGAATTATAGTTAAAAGTTAGAATGTAGTACATGAAATAGCATAGTACATGTGTATTATTATTCATTATGGTTTTACTATATTTTTATTGTTTTGTTGTTATTTGGTTGTCACGCAAATGTCAAAAGTATGTATATCTTTAAAGTTAGAAGAGTATTTTCTTATATGTGGATTTAATGGTTTCACCGGTTAAATGTTATGGATCTACAGATTTAAATGCAAATTAATAGGTAATTGTTTTCTTTATAATATTTTTTTAAAAAATTAAAATATTAGATAGAATATAGGAAGGTGAGAGAGAGGATTATTGGACGATGGAGGAAGTGTGCGTGCTCATGTGCGTGCACGGGGTGTTCGGAGGGATTAGTATGCTTTTGAACTAATCTAAATAGGAAAAAAAAAAGATGTGCAAACGGGAGTACATAAGTACGTACATACGTTTGTTTTTCTTTTTTGGCAGGAATACTATGCACATACTTAATTGGTAGTTTCTGATAGATATTTTCCGGAATACTTACGTGTATTTTTTAGTAGATGTCAATGTATATAGATCTAATTAAAATTGGTATAAAATATCAGGTCCACCAATTTAAATGAAAATCAACGGCAAGTATAGATCTAATCTAACAGTATGAAATAACGGGTCTACTAATTTAAATGAAAATCGACGGTGAGAATAGACTGTGCCACGTGGTGGACTAAGAGCGTTTAAAGATAGAACGTTTAAAGAGTATTGATTGGATACTTTATTTTTATATTAATTTTCGTAAATTTATAGAGTAGTATATTTTATTTTTAAATTGTAGAAAATCCTAATTTATCTACCATCGTTTTTTTAATGCACTACGTATCTATGTTTACTTTTTTTTTATTACGCAGCTTCTTTTCCTGTTGTACGTAATTACGGAATACTTTTTGATTGGATACGTATACGGAGTTTTTGTTTGGTTTCCCGGCCCACAGTAAACATGAGAAAAGTATTAGTTTCTTTAAGAAAATAATACATCCAATCTAATGGTCTAAAATATCGGGTCCACCAATTTAAGTGAAAATCAACGGTGAGATTAAACAATGCTATATGGCGGTCTAGGAGCGTTTTTAGGAGCGCCACGTGGCGGCTTAGGAGCGTTTGTAGGAAGTTTAATGGACTTTTAGTATATAATAGATAGATAATAGAAGATATAATCTAATGGTTTAAAAAAGTGGGTCCACCGAATTAAATGAAAATCAAGGTTGGATGTTTTTCTATTTTCTCAAAATTTGTAAGTTTTTCTCTTATTTATTAGAGCGTCACATGATAGCTTAGGAGCGTTTGTTGGTGTACCACGTGGCGGTTTGAACTAATAGGATTAAACGTGATTGACTCACTAAGTACGAAATTACCATTTTTAAATAACGTTTATGATGTTAGGCCATTCATCTTCTTTAAAATCCATGCGGTTTTTTTCTTACGAGGGTATCACAGCACATCTCACATTAGAGAAATGTTTTAGTTAGGTGAATAGTAGGAGTACTTATGTAGACAGGATTTATTTTAGCTATTTCCCTGATGAATAGTACTACTATTGTATTTATATGTACACATGATTTTTTTTATTTGGGGGCATTATTTTCTAATAGATATGATCTAATGATACAAAATAATCCACCGATTTAAGTGAAAATCGAGGGTTGGATGTTTTTTTTTAAAATTTGTAGGGTTTACTATTATAATTACATAATTTTTATACTTAGATAAATGATCAAATATATGCTGAAATGTCAATAGCATAAAAAAACAGATCATGTGATATAAATATATTGTAGGGTATTACAGATGAAAATAAAACATAAAAGGAAAAAATAGGAAGTAAAAAAAGGATGGGTACGTACGTAACCTGCTTACTAACTGGATGTGGCCGCAGGCGTACATACATGTGGTAGATGGGAGGGGGAACTAACTTTTTTTTAATCTAATCTAATCCAATGGTCTAAAATAATGGACCCACTGGTTTAAGTGAAAATCGACGGCTAGATGTTTCTAATATATTAAAATGCCACGTGGCAGCATATGAGTTTTTAGGAGTCCCACGTGGCGGCTTGAGAGCGTTTGTAGGAAGCTTAATGGACGTTTAGTATATAATAGATTAGCCCGGATTAATTAGAATTTAAGCTCTACTGTTATTCCATGTCTTAGCTTGATTTTACTAGGTCCTTACTTAGCAGTAGAAGATCTTAATGATTTAGCCTATGCATTAACTAGACTGAACTTGTCCGAAATTAAAAAAAGGATAAACTAAACCGAAATTCCCAAATTAAGAAGAGGCGGGTAAACTAGATTGAAACTCCCAAAATTGGGAAGACGCAATAAACCTGATTGAAATGTCTCCAAATATTCCAAAACTGAATAACTCTAATTCAGTTAAACACTAAATCCTAAAAAATTTCCCAAATCAGAATCAAAACATCACGAATCAAGGCAGTGTGGGTTTTCATCAGGAAGTGGCATCACGCCCATGTTGTGAGGTGGAGCAATACACTTGTCCACTCAAAAAAACACACACTTAGAAACAATACACTCGTCTTAAAAACAACACCCAGATGAGAAGTGTTTACAATCAATTCCGGCTAGTCTAACCGCCGCCTATGGGCCAGTATGACAGGCGCGTGGGGCCGGTCTGACCGGTGGTGTGTGGCAGGTCAGATCGTCAAAGTCCGAATTCGGGTTGAATTTGCCGGGTCTCGAGTTTCCTTGCATGGAAAGGTACCTTTTGAGTTCTAATTGATCTCTACCCAAAATTTGACGTGGATGAAGATCTGTAGTAGGCAAGACCGGCCAATCCCTATATGAGGGCCTAGGCCGGTTAAATGGAGACAATCTACTTTCAACAAAATTAGCCAATGGAATCGCTTTTTCAATAAGCAATTACTTTTTCGCTTCATTTAGCCTAGTTTTGTTCATCTTTGTCGATTTGCCGTAAATTGTCTGCCTTCGCCACGAGTGTGCGATTATCCATTTGTAGTTT